TCCAGTGTATATGGTATTGTCCACTATAGCTGTAGATTAACTCAGCCATGAGTGAGATAATCTGATAAAGGACCACAAAACCATTTGCTGCAGAAGGGAAAGAATCAAGTATTTATGTTGCCTTTACTGTACTCACTATGCTTCAGAGTGTCCAAATATTTGATGAGGGAGGGACATTTATTCTTTATAGAAGAACTCCAGCTAAAAAACACAGAAGGCATGCTAGAATGAGAAAACCATGGTTTTCAACCTTGAAAAAAGTGAAATAATGGATTTAGGGTAATGATCACTAGTAGTTACCAAGATCATTGAAAGATAACTAGAGATAACATCTCCTGTGGAAGTACAAAACATGCTTCTGAGGAACATTACTGTCTCTTCCAAACAAGCAACAACATCAAAAACCAAACAACTTTTAGATCTATCTATCACTTTATAGGGGACAGAGGAACATTATAAACACTACCACAGGTGTGTCATTAGCAAAATCCAGGCAGTGAGAAGCTACAGGACAAATGACAGGGGTTTTAGGTTTTTGGTGTTTTCCCAAGTAAGTTGCAAGGAAAAACAAAGGAAAACACTTAGATTATAAAACTAGAGTCATACTCAACCAAATGCAATGTATGGATCTGATTTGGATACTGATTTGAACAAACAAGTTAAAAAGTTTTTTTAATCAGGAAAATTGTAGTAATGACTAGGTATTTTCATTTTTAGGACTGCTAACAGTATTTTGTCTACTTGTTTAAAAAGTCAGTTTTAACAGATATATTTATAAATAAAGTACGAGAATAAAGTTGGGGTGATAATTACATTCTGGGAGGGGGAGAAGAATGCAGGTAGCTTCAGTAACCTTGTTCTAATTATTTGGGGTGGGTTCATAGATGTTTTATGATGTGTATATAAAAATATCACACTGTATATCAAATTGAATAAAATAAAACATTACTGAAGTGACACAGTGGGTAAATCCAGAATGAGTTGTGGCTGAGCGAGGTGGCTCATGCCTGTAATCCTAACACTCTGGGAGGCTGAGGCATGAGGATTGCTCAAGGTCAGGAGTTTGAAACCAGCCTGAGCAAGAGCGAAACCAGCCTTGAGCAAGAGTGAGACCCTGTCTCTGCTATAAATAGAAAGAAATTAATTGGCCAACTAACATATATATATGTATAGAAAAAATTAGTCAGGCATGGTGGCACATGCCTGTAGTCCCAACTACTCACGAGGGTGAGTTAGTGGGATTACTTGAGCCCAGGAGTTGGAGGTTGCTGTGAGCTAGGCTGACGCCACAGCACTCTAGTCCAGGCAACAGAGTGAGACTCTGTCTCAAAAAACAAAAAACCAAAAAAAACCCCCAGCAATTATGTTGAAATAAAAAAGGTCTTTATTTTTCATAGTAGTTTCCTGATGTTAACTTGTAACAAGTCTAACTTGTAACAAGTTCCTCTGCCTTATTTTCAGCATAACATACTATGTAAGTGGGACTTGTTGGTAAAGTTGTGGGCATAGAATAAACAGGTTCAGATGATCAAATTTGATAACCGAAGCTGGTGATGGGTTTATGGAGACTCATTAGCATTTCTAGTTTGGTGTTTTTGAAAAGTTCTATAAAATCAACTTAAACAGTTCCATTGATTACTAAAGATCTTGAAGATTTCCTTCAGAGTCAACATGAATTCTCTGTTGGTGCTTTATTCTGTAATTAAACCTGCTTTTAATAAACATTACTGAATTTTCCTGGTAACTAATGTTTCAAGCACAGTAGGCATTTAAAAAAAAAGGTTTTTTTTATCTGTTAGCCTGAGTACTTTACCCCATTTTTCCTTCTTACATTGTAAATGATTAATTTCTTAATAGATTGTTTTGAAGTGTTTTTCTTTTTTTTCAATAACGAGAGTGCTTAAATATTTCAGTTTTGTGGGGTTTTTTTGTTTGTTTTTCTTCTGGAACCTAAGTGTGGCATTGTTTTTCTTATTCCTTTATAAACTGTAAGAAAATCATTGGAAATGTTAGTTTCTGGATGGTGGTTCTGTGAGTCTTGTGTTTTTCTTCCCCTTCTATATATTATAAAAAGTCTTAATTATCAATTGAAGGTTTATCAGGTGCCTAGCAGGGTTCCAGGCTCTGAATGCAACAGTGAACAAAAAGGATAACCTAATTAGTCCCTGTTAAGGAGTGTGCGTCCTATTGTATTTATGTGTGTTTTAGGAGGTGAAACACTAGTATTTTTGCTGATACTTAAATTGAACTTTAATACTTTGGCAATCAATATGATAGATCAGTCTTTTGAAATATCTATTTTCTTGACTTTTAGGCATTCAGCATCAAATCTAAATATAACCTAATTTTCAGAGCTCAGATGGGAGAGGATCAAAGAAGCAGGTGATAGTGTTTTAATCGTGTACAGCCAACTTAAGATGTACGGCGAGTGGGGTGGATTTTTTAAAGTTCTTTCCATGTCAGAAGTTTGTGTTTCTGTGCTGGATGATTACAATTCATGCCTTTAGTTGGTCCCTTTTCATGTTGAGCCTTTTGACTTTTACTGATAAGAGTGGAGCACATGGTTAGGAGCTGGAGGAAAACTGTACAGAGTTTAAGATTAGTTACTGAGTAAATGGGAAAGGACAGTTCTAGATGTCAGAACACTAACTGTATGAAAATAATTCTGATGTTTCTCTAAAATGAAACAAGAGAATCAGGTGATGGAAACTAGAGAAACCCCCATTTAAGGGAAATAATTATTCTAGAGTAATTTCCAACAAGTAAGTGGGTGTTAAATGTACGTTTTAAAGAGTGGCTAGAAAGTCCTTGGGAAAACATGGCTAATGGGTTACTGTTAATGTATATAAGATAGTGTCCTATTTAAAGAATTTCTTGGGAGTCCTGTGAAGTGGTTGTTTATGTAATGTGAATAATCACCTGCTAATTAAGCTGAACTTTGTACATTTAAATGTGTACTTTCGGGAAGAATTTTTGGTAACATATATACACCCAAAGGAATGAATCCAGCGGGGATGAATACTTGGTTTCTTTTTTTTTTTGAATACTTGGTTTCTTAACACTGTGCTGCTAATCCTTACTGTGTCAGATACTTGATTAAAACCGATTAGTACTTGCATATATGTAGCAAATCTTACCTCCTTGGTTACCCAGGGTAAATATTTATACAGTGTTAGCAACTTTGCTTTTAGCTGGAGCAATATATAGCAGATGTGAAATCTACAAATTAAAAGTCTTTATTAGTATATATTTTAAAGCCTTTTATAGAAAATATAAAAGTAATACAAAAGCAGAGAGGCAGTACCTGTCCTGAGGTTTTAACAGTGATTAGCACATCAGTTATGTCTTTTGTTTGTTTTTTAAAAATTTATTTCAGAATATTACAAGGGTACAAATTATTTGGTTACATAAATTGCTTTTGTACCATGTCCATCTCCCAGACAGTGTGCATTGTACCCGTTAGGTGTGAAATCCCTTCCTCCTGCCTCCCACTTGCTTGATTTCCGATGGATGTTATTTCCATATGTGCACATAGGTGTTGATACATGAGTTATTTTGAAACAAATCCCAAACTTGTATTTTGTCTGTAAATTTAAACTAGGTGTTGTTTGGATTTTTTTTCCTTAAATTAACATTCTTTGTCTGGTGTATTTTCTTTCCCCTGATAGTTATGCTTTGTTTTAGTGTCATTAAAAATGATGTAAAAGTGCTTCTCTCTTGTCTCCTCAGTTTTACGATTGCAGATGGGATAAACCTGAATTTGGTTAATCTAGTTTTTGTTTGGAGTTCTTAAAGGGATTGGCAGCAAGGGTAGCATTTGTTCTCATGCTTTTGGGGAAAGGGATGGGGCAAAGAACTAGGCTATGAATCTAGACTAATATTTTGCTATGGGTCTTCAAAACCTTCAATTATTTGACCTGGAAAGGGAAGTTTACTGTAGTTCTAATTTTATGGGTTTTTCCCCTTCCTTTTAAATTTTTTTTTCTTTCTGTAGTCCTAATTTAGAAGATGTCAGCTCAGTTGCTAGTTATTTTTGTTTTAGTTTTGTTTTTAATAGCTAGTTGACTATACATTCTTTTGCATTCTAAAGATGTGATTGGCATGTGGCATCTATTATAATCTCAATTAATATACAGTTGTGTTATTTCTACTACTCCTTGCCTTTATGTCACATATACACATGTTGGGAGGGGCTGGGGGGCATTTGAACTAAGGTGGGAATTCTTTACAATTTCTATGCCATGGACTCCTTTGGCAGTCTGAAACCTATGGATCTCTTATGTTTCAGGATGTTTAAAAATGCATAAAATACATAAAATTATAAAGGAAACCAATTATTTTGAAATGCAGTTAGCAAAATGTTAAAACTCATATGTGCTTCTTAACATAATAAGTAACAAGTTCTAGCAACACATCTAAATTTCACAGTAATGAGTGCAAGATGATATTTAAAGATCTGCAACAACCTAATGTGGTATGAAAATATCTGATTTATATTGATGTCAAAATTGCAAGTACTATGATTCTGTGGTTTAGTGCCAACCTTCATAATTGAAGGAAGTGTTAAATTTTACTTAAGGGATACTGAAGATAAATACATGATTCCCCTTGTGGGTCTCCCCCTACCCCCAAATTGTGAGTTCCCTGAATTTTATTCATGGACTCTTTTGCTGTGATCTCAGAGTAAGAACATCTGAACTAAGGCTTTCTTTGAGGCTAATTGGAGGCTAAAGGATCAGATGAAATATTTTTAAAACATCCCATTCTGCCCGTTTTAGTGGCTTGTAAAAATAAGTCCTAATAAATCCAATAATGTTGGATCTCAATATGCATCTTGTGACTTTCTTTGTTTTTCTTCTTAAGTTATATTTATTATATATTGGTTTATTAGCTAATATAAAATTAATTATTTTAAATAGTTTCTAAACTTCCTTGTTGGTTATTAATGTCTTTTGCTTTTATAATTTTTTCTTTTAAAAAACATTTTAATTCTTCTGCAGGATTCGGAAACTTCAGATACGAAATATCCCGCCTCACTTACAGTGGGAGGTAAGAATTTCTATATTTAAAATTAAGATCTAAGTATCTATGCCTGTTGTTGTTAGTTTTTCCAAAGCCTTTTCTTCTTACCTCAACTCTTCGGTATGCTGAACACAGAACACAAAATTCTTCTCTTATAACTTGTGTCTCATTGTGGGTTTTTCTTCGTAAGGGAACAGCTTATCTTTTAAGTCTGTTCTTTGAGATTAAAAAGAATTGAAATATATTCTTGGGTAATCTTCCTCATTCAGTCCCATCAAGACAGTATTTTGTTAATTTGAGTTCTTTCTGATGAGTTTGCCTTTCTTTTTTTTTTTTATGAGACAGAGTCTCACTCCATTGTCCAGGCTAGGGTGCTGTGGCATCAGCCTAGCTCACAGCAACCTCAAGCTCCTGGGCTCAAGCGATCCTCCTGCCCCAGCCTCCCAGAGTGCTAGGATTACAGGCGTGAGCCACCTTGCCCAACAGATGCTCATCTTATTTAAATATACAAATATATATATACAAATGTACACATATAAATATTTTAATATACAAAGCTCCCACTTTGGCAAATTTTTTAAAAGATAAATACCTGCTACTTATGCTTTATTTTAAAATATTCTTCTTCCTTTTGCTCAGATGGTCACTGTAGTGATTGTGTATAAATACCAACCATTTAGAACAATTGAATAGCCTGTGTCAGCAATTTCTAAAGCATAATGTCAAGGTGAGAATTTAAGACACCAGTACTTGAAGAGATAAAAGAAAAACGTCTGACTTTTCCAGACAATGGAACCTCGAAGTTTTTTCTTTCTTTCCTTCCTTCATCTCTCCTTTTCCTTTTCCTTTTTTAGTTTTTTGAGACAGAGTCTCACTCACTCTGTTATCTTGAGTAGGGTGCCCTGGCATCAGCCTAGCTAACAGCAACCTCAGACTCCTGGGCTCAAGTGATCATCCTGCCTCAGCCTCCCGAGTAGCTAGGACTGGAGATGCACACCACCATGACCAGCTAATTTTTCTATCTTTAATAGACATGGGGTGTGTGGAGGCGGTGGGTCTCGCTGTTGCTTAGCCTGGTCTCAAACTCCTGACCTCAAGTGATCCTCCTGCCTCAGCCTCCCAGAGTGCTAGGATTGCAGGGTCAGCCACCTCACCTCGCCAATAATAGAGGTTTGACTGGATTCAGTCTCAATCTAACTTTGAGTTTATAAGAAATACAGAAAATAGAGGGACAAATTAAATGATGCCATGAAGACCACATATAGGACATTTCATAGGACAAATAGTAATACTGTGTCGCTAAACAAGCAGTGGCATGAAAAAAGGAAGGGGACTGTTATAAAATTATAAAATAAGAGTTATGTTTGCTTTCTTGTTATCCTCATATGCCTATAGTAGGTTATTTGTTGATAGGGTGAATGGCCCTTTGAAACAGCATGGGGTATCTAGAAAAGCCTTACAAGTGTTTTGTTTTGTGTTTTTTTTTTTTTTTGCAGGAAATATGGTAGCCTTTGGGGTCAGACTTGAGATTGTATTCTAGCTGTACTACTTTCTAGTTGCGTGATCTGGTTATGTGATCTCTGAGTTGGTTTCTTGATTTCCTTGAGATATTCATTTTCCTAGTTTCTAACATTGGGATGATGAGAGTGGCCATCTCATTGGGTTGCTTTGAGCACCAAGTGAGATTATGCACGCCGGAGCCCTAAAATGTGTGTTGTACATGTAAATGCACAGTGCGCTGTAGCAGTGGTATGAACAACAAGAAATTCACCACCTTTCAACCTTACGTTTTTGTGCTTGTCTCAGTCCAATCCAGCCAGGAGCCCAGAAAACACACTAGATATTTTATTGGGGGAATCACGCGGGTGCTGCAGGACACAAGAGCAAAAAGAGAATCCAGCCTAGTGACCATAGTGAGAAGCTACCGCCCCAGGGCAGGGAGGTCAAAGGGAGGAAGTGGAGGTTATCCGATCCTAGAAACTTCAGGAGGAGCCCTGAGTAGCTGAGACTCAGATTTCTGAGCAATGGGAGCTCCTTGGCTGTGGTTGGCCCCTGGGATGGGGAGAGAAGGGAGCTTATGAGTCATCTTCCGGGAGTGTCCAGAGCAGCCAGAGGCTGAAACCAAGCGCTGATGTCGTGATGTGGGTAGGAGCAGCTGACAAACAGAGGACCGTGTCCTGTCTCCCCCAGTCCTGCCTTCAGTGCCTTATATTGGCAGAAATTAACAGGGAACAGCTGGCAACAGAGCGATGAGAGTACCCGGACTCCTAGCCTCAGCACCACAAAGCCGAAAAGGCATTTGGAACTGAGCGCTTAATAACCAGCCAAAGTTCTAGAAATGAAAAAAAAAACCCCTCTGCTGTTCTGCCAGTCATCTTGTAAGCTATTTTCTGTGAGGTCACTGAAGAGGTAACAGTATTTGGGACCATGGTAGAATGACATGTGGCATTTCGTAAGGTCTGTAAGTGGATTGTTACCTTTATATTACTGTTATATCCTCATACTTTATTTTTATACCACAGTACACTACTGAATAATTAGAAGGGGATTTCTCTCAAGTTCTCTTGGTGGCATATCTTGCATGCTGTGTGTCAGGCAGGGGTTAAATGGTTTCTAAGCATTTAATTTTGTATGATGATTAAAAGCACTTATGGGCACTGAATTCTGCTGAATGTGTATGGCAAATGAATATAGGGGGAAACTCATCTTTTGGAGGACTCTGCTAGAGAAATAGGTTTGTTTTCCACCAAATACATGGAATGTAGAGAGGAAACGGGAGAAAAGAGTTTCTCCTCTACCCTTTACTGTTTTGCCTGAGGCACTTGGAGAGCAGGTTTGGTGCAACCAGAACTGGAGGGGCTCCTCTGGAATAGTCCTGCTGCCCGAACGATCTGGACCCCCATAGATGCTCCGATGGAGGGTTCCATGCGCGATCAGGATTTGAGAGCTCCTCCTTGGGTGAATAAGGATAGGGCTTTGGAATAAAGCCCTAGCAGAACACTTGGCTTTAACATCTTTGATCCTTTTCTTTTGCTTTCTTCAATTTCTCACATGGGCCCCGTTCTCTAAATTTAAGGAATGTCTTTCTTTTCTTTTTTTTTTAATTTCAGCATATTATGGCGGTACAAATGTTAAGGTTACGTGTATTGCCCATGCTCCCCCACCCCCAGGAATGTCTTTCTGTATGTAAAAAATAACTAGCCGGGGTCTTAGGAACGGACTTCTCAAAGCGTTTTTCTGTAATCTTACTGTCTCACTGCTACTCTCCCATCAGTAGAATCAAAATTCCTAATAAGTACTCAAATATCAAAAGGGGTATCTTCCTTGAAGTGGAGCATGAGGTCCATCAGTTATATAAACGAAGCGGTCATAAAGAGCAAGTTAGGTTCTCATTTTGGGGTCTGGTGAGGAAAGTAGAGTGCTCTTTCTGGAGTTTACTCTCTGGGAAAAGGTCTGAGTTACATCATCTGCATCATAAGGTTCTCCGTGCTGACAGGGCCCCGACATCGACCATAACTGAATTACTATGTTCTCTGAGTCAAAGATTTGAATATGTGGTCTGACAGGTCCTTATGGGGAATGCATACTTTAAATTCACAGTCCTGCTAGAAAATCCAGAACTTCTCTTGGCTTTGCTTTAACACTTGGATATCTGATTTTTCCTGGAGCTAATTGAGCTGGGAAGATGACTGTCACTAAGTGAGGCTCTGGCAGAAGAAGGGAAACCAAAGGAGTCCTTACTTAAATTTAAGGCCAGCTGCAGTGGCATGTGCCTGTAGTCCCAGCTATTCTGGAGGCCACAACGGGGAGACTGCTTGAGCCCAGGGCTTCGTGACCAGTGTGGGCAATGTAGCAAGACCCCATTTCTTAAAAAGGTGGGGGGGAGGGAAGGAATAAGGACATAAGTGAAAGGTAGTGATACCATGTTATGTAGTCTAGGGGAAAAATAAAATGACACCATGGTTAATACAAAATATTAATAGCTCAGAGACCCTGCCGTAAGCCTTGGATGGATGTGTGCTAAGAATTCGAAAACTGTCTTGAGGATTAGGGCAGATGGGATGACTTTTACAGGTGAAGAGACTAGGCAGGGGCCATGGAGTGTATTAGGTGAAGACCCTGCTGGATGCTGACATCCTTAAGGACAGGAACTGTCATTTTTCTTCTGTCCAAGTGCTGACTGTTTTTTGGCGCTGTGGCAGTCAGCTGCTATTTGGTCCTTAATGGATGCAGGAATTAAGCTGAATAGAAATGGAGGGAGAAGCATTTTAAGTATTGACATTCTTGACATTGTAAAGCTAACAATATGAGGTACTTTAAATCACACAGAAGACATCTGTAGGAACAGTGGAGTTGACATTGTGAACGGAACATGAAGAAGTAATGGGAGTCACTGAAGGTAAATACTAGAAATCACTCGTGTAAAGGTTGCCTTCTGCAGCAAAGACAGCTTGTAGTTTCAAATATAGTAGTAGTAGATAAACTGGGTACGTGATTTTCTTCTTCACAATGGCCTGACTTTGAGCACTTGGCCAATAAATAGCCGACACTAAGCACTTACGTATTGGATGCTGAGTTAATTTATTTTATTTATTTATTTATTTTGAGACAGGTTCTTGTTCTGTTGCCCAGGCTGGAGTGCAATGGCAAGATCATAGCTTGTTGTATGATTTGACTTTCCAAGAGTACCTAAAACTATGAGTGTGCACCACCATGCCCGTCTAATCTTTCATAAAATTTATTTTATAGAGACAGGATCTCGCTATATTTAATTGCCCAGGCTAGTCTCAAACTCTTGGCCTTGGCCTCCCAAAGTGGTGGGATTACAGGTATGAGCCACTGCGCCCGGCCTAACCCATTTTAATTTTCACAACAGTCCCATGCCTCCACTTTACAGATAAGACAGCTAGAGTGCAGAAGGGTAAAGTAACTTGTCCAGGGTCACGCAGCTGAAAAGTGTTAGTTTTTGCTCTTAATCAGGTGTTTTTTTTTTTTTTTCCCTTCATTTTTGAGGCTGAGTCTCACTG